AACTATTCATCAATCATAACCTTACACCCCGAATGCATTGATGGGCGACCAGGCACGCTGGTGATCGAATCGTTCGTGGTGGATGTCCCCGATGGCAACACCAAGGACGAGACGTGCTTCTTCGTCGAAGCCCTCATCAAATGCAACCTCAAGTCTCTCGCCGACGTATCAGAGCGCCTCGCTGTCCAAGACCGAACTGAGCCAATCGACCGATAATGGCACAATTGTTCAGATACTTGTAATACCCAAAACCCCTTTCTAGGGTTTCTGGCTACTACAATGAGTTTTAGCTTCTTCCCATGCTTTTATTTGCTCGCCTATTTCAGGAAATGGTTGATCATGGGCTTCGTTTTTTTTCTTTTCATTTCGTCGAGTGCCTTGCTAGTCAATCCTATTCTCTATAGACAGGCTTCTTCACTCTTTCTATGATATTTGTGTGTAAATACCTAATTTTATCAAAGAGTTGATACAGGAGAGATAAGGTTCTTCCGTGCGATTTGCTTTTGATTTGTTGATGCATTTGTTGTATATGTATATATTAATTTGACCATCATTTCTCTATATTTCTCTATTCTATTGATGAGATAGGGAACAGTTAAGAGAGATTAATTTTGACCATCATTTCTCTATTCTATTGATATTGATATTGATGAGATAGCGAACAGTTAAGAGGCCTTGGATGTTAGGGGATAATGGCATTTCTTAATTTCTCGAAACTAGTGATTTGATCTTTGCTTTTGTGCAATTTCACGTGGGTTTGGGCCAATGGGTGAGCTCAAGTACCATTACTTTGTGTGAAGAAAGATTGGTTTATGTTTTGATTCAGATTTTAATTAACGATCAATGGTGGTGGGGCCCAAGAGGAGGGCGGTGCGTGCGTCACGCATACCAGCCTTTACGCCACAGAAGAAAGAGGAGGAGAGGATAAGGACAGGCTCCTAACCCTGCGCTTTGTTTAGCGACGAGACCCTCCCTTTTGAAAAAAAATCAGGAGGGATAAACACTAGCTTATTTCTTTAATTGTGAGGCTCCAAAAATTGGTGATGCTCATAATGGGATGGGCTTTTTTTTTTTTTTTCATCCCTCTTTCTCTTTGTTTTGCTTTGGATGCATCTTTTGGCGGTGCCTTTACTCACTTATTTGTTGGTATCTCTAAAGATCATCACTAGCCTCAATGGTTGGTTGTGCATGTACTACGAAGACCACTGAGTTCCTCAGTCAGCAACTAGGGCATAATGTTGATAGATCTAAATGGAAGTACGTATAGGGAATACGTAGGCTCAGATAGATAATGGATGAAGCAATTGGAAAATACATCAAATGGGATATATTTTTGTTTTGAGTCCGTTATGAAGGGGTAAGAATTTTATCAGAGCGTCTCATATGGTGCGATATCTAACACAACTGAGGGGATTGTGGAATACCCAAAGTGCCCCTTATCTCCTCTTGTTTGCATCGGGGCACCTCACACAATGCAGACATTTTGATAGAATACGTACTCCTATCAGAACTACCAGCAAGTGAACAGACTGTTCTGCACGATACATGAGATGTTGGGTTATTTTGGAGATATCGTCACTCCCTAAGTAGCTCGGAACCACCCTCTGGCATGCAGATAGTTCTAATACGATTCGTTTCTTTGGATTGAGATCCTATTTACTAATATGGATGATCGTTATTCTATTTCATATTGGTAGGGGGGAGCAAAGGTCTTGTTAGGTCGGTCTTGACTGTTTTTTTTTATCAAACTGAACCATACCGAGCTAGATTTGAAATCAAACCGAATCAAATCGGTTCGGTGCGGTTTATTCGGTTTGGGCCTAATCATACCGAGTCAGAAAAATTTTTGGCTAAAAAACAAGACTATTAATCCTTCAAACTTTTCGCTCATTTTATATCCCAAGTTGAAGAGAAAATTCATCAAATCAGTTACTTTAGAAACTAAAAATCGAACTTTTATCAATTAAGATATGTACAAATATTAGTATAAATTATCTATTCATCTAGAAAGAGCGTAACTTTTAGACAATTACATTGAGAGCGATTGGTTTGGTTATTTTGGTTTTAAATATTCTAAAATAGTCCTGAATCGAAGTTTTTATAAAACTTAAAACCGAACCGTCAGAAATTTGACCGGTTCGGTCGGTTTACTCGGTTTGCACCGAACATTGCTCAGCCTTACTTGTTCCAGACAAAGTGTGATCTTTGAAGAATGTGGAATTCATGAGCAAGTTGCAAATAGCTTTCTTGCGCAAGCACACAAACATGTGATTCAAAAAAAAAGGGGCTGCGCTTAAAACAAGTATGCTCACGGAAGAAAGCAAACGATGGCTTGTTTTTCGCCCACAAGCTTCAGAGTTAAAAGAGTCACGAGTATCCCCTGAATTTCTTTTGGGTTGATCTCATCTCATGACCTGGAATACTTCTTCCACTTGCAATTCCTCATTAGGGAATAAGAAGTGGTGATTGATATTTATTTTATCAGAAAAAAAAAGTGGGGCTAACAAGTTCTTTCCTTTGGGGTCAAATTTATATAATTGCTCTTGCTATTTTTGGTTACTGAGTGGTGATTATTATCTATCTTATCTTATCCATGAAATCTCTGTTTAAATTCCTCATTTATGAACTTCTTCATTTAACTCACTTGAACTTAGCTTAGAATATACCATGAGTCTATATATTCTAATTTAGCTCTAAGCAAGACTTATTAGTCTAAACTTATACGGGGAAAAAGTACTACTTTAATCATGAAAACTGATGGTGAGGGTTGACGAAATCTATGACAAAGATTTTGACCCACATTTTTTCTATATTATCTTCTAGAGATCCAGATAATGTGGCTTTGTTGGCAAGCATCCAGCTGACTTAAAAGCTTTTCATATCTCGAGGATTGACTTTGCTTAGAGTTAGTAGGTGGCTCCACCAATTATTTTTCGTCTTGCTGTCTACAAAAGAAGCAACCATAAGTATTAGACAAAAATGTAAATACTTTGATATAGTTTATGTCACCCTTATGATATTAGGTAAATTATTTAAGGTTAGTAGGAGATTAAGAAAGTAAGTAATGAAACAAAGTTATCTGTTTGTGGAGGAAATCATGTGCTTACCTCAATAACATTTGATCTGCCTGTACGGCTTAGTTACATAAATAAACGTCAGTAAAAAGTTTTCACAATTTACCATCGGATTCCATTATCCAAATATACGAAGTAAAATGTTTGGCCACAATCCCGGGATGCGTGACTTTATATTTGTTGGGTCACAATAGGCATAATATTGGCAGTAAAAAAATTAACTAAGAGCAATCAATTACATGATTTAAAATATACCATTCGTTAGAATAGTGAGATAGAGGATGACATAGTTGATTGAAGCAAAATACAAACTGTTAAAATAGAGGATACTAATGGAGTCTTTTGTGAGGATAGAACACATATGAGATTTATGGAAAGGTTCCAAACATCTGTTACTATATATATATATACCTTAAACCAAAACCCTTTGCCACAAACCCTCCTAGAGCTTGCCACATCATCACTTCTCTTCTCAAATAAAAACTTCATGTGTCCTAAATCCTCTCTGTCCATCTTCCTAGCACAAAATAATTTAAATCTATAAAAAATCTAAACCATCCGTTTTAAATAACCCATCCAATCTCTCTCCTATTATAAATCTCTCCAATACGATCAATCAATTACCAATATGAATCCAATCTCAACCGTTTTCTCTCTCCTATCATACTCATCAATCACGTAATCCCCAAAATCTCTCTGGAATTATACCATAATTTCCTCTTTGATGATAAACTAACCAAAAAAATCTTTGCTGTCAAAAAATAGAAATATTGTCGAAAATGATTCTGAAAAAATCCCCATCAGCTTTTCACCACCATCCTCTTCCATCATCCCTCAATCTCAATGAGTTTCTTGACAACCTCCACTTTCAATTTCAAATGGTTTAATACTTAAATTATATCAAATTTTGCATTCTAGTAAATTAAATTTTTTAGAATTCAAATTTTTAGTTTTTTAAAATATATTTGTAACTAAAATTTCAAATTTAGATCATAATCCCATTTTTCTAATTATGATGAATTTATTAATAATTTTGTTATTAATTGATAACAAAGTTTTTAAAAATAGTAATTCCATGATTAATAAATACCAAAATTAGAAATAAATTTTACAAATCAATTATCATATAACCAAATAATTAGTACTAAGATTTTTAGAAATAATTTAATACTAAAATTGTTAGAAAGTTATTAGATCAAAGGTTATAGCATGTAGAATAAATCCGAAATAAAATAATAAGAAAGTTTGGTCTGATCGGAAGCAGCCGTGTAAACATTGCCCTAGAAAATTGAGGACCCGCCAATCATCCTGGCGTAGATGATCCTCTCTCCCCTAACGGTAAAAACCCTCGGAAGTGGTCGGCCTCTGTACTCGAGCGAGAGAACAGAGCTTTAGCTCAGACGAAGAACAGTTGCCCAAAAATAACACCAACATATGAACAAAATTAATATGCAGAGGAGAGAAGAGGAAGAAGAGAGAATTGTTTATGTACTTTTTCCGAAAGTGAATAAGAGGTGTATATATATAGGGTTGAGAAAGCCATAATAATTCCTACAATTAATACGGTAACGTTCGATATAAATTTTCGTAACGTTCCACATAATGTATAGTTGTTACGCACGTTTTAATTATATTTATAACACTATTTCATATAGGACTATTCATGAAGGAAAAATTGTTTTTTCTCTAACAAAATATCCAACAGTCCCCTCCCCTCCAAAAGGCAATATTGATTGAAAACTCAAAATTAATAAATAAAATAATAAATCACAAAAAAAATATAGGTTAGACAACTTTTCGTATCGTGAATTCGGGAGATGTAGCTTTCGGCTTTGAACCTTTCCTTAGTGAGTTCATCGCCACCTGAGGAACATAATAAACTAGGCCTTGAATTAGGCTCCTTTAATCAGGTATTGACGAAAACACACACAATATGTCTTTATCTATTGAGCAAAGCGGGTTGAGCGTTAAAGGTCATGCTCACAATAACCGATCATGAGAGTTTCTAGGGGTTAGCCCCCCTCCCCCCCAACCCCCCAAACCGCGGCCATCACAGTTCCTCTCACGTAAGTAAGTCCTCCAAAGGTACTACAACTGGATATCATACCCTCCACAATGCACACGTTAGACTTATTAAGAGTAAAACTCAACCTAACCAGATGTATCATAAGAGCATCGTCATCGTAGAGAAGGGAAAGTAGCACATGCTACTATAATGATATATAAATATATCTAGGTCGATGCTCCACACGAGTGTCACTAGTCCAGCTTGTTTCTACCACATTGAATCAACATTGAGATTATATCTCCAAATAAGAGTTGGATTGCCGCTGTCAATGACCCCATCTATGGACTTAATTCTATCTCCCTCGATGAATCCAGAACCACACTCCTAGGTAGACCCTTTGTTAATGTGCCAGCAAGATTCTTTTTAGACTTTATAACTTTACCTAACAGGCGTTGTATATATTTATCAAGTTATTT